ATTGGGTGATTATCTTATGGACGCCACAGTATAAAGAAGCAGAAGCACAATCAGCCGCGACTTGTAACGAATGCAATAAAGAATAATACAATATTATCTCTGACTCAATACTATGATCGATTTTTATTCTTGTTCTTTTTCTTATTCTTATTCCTTTTCTTCTTCTTGCACACACAGCTTCACGGTTAAGGAAAAAAAGAAAGAAGAAGAATTAATACAACACCAAAAAACAAAGAAATAAATGGAAACAAAACTCAAATGAAATACAAAAAATCGAAACAAAAAAATGACGTTTTTTTTCTTTTAACACAACAACATGAAGCCACTTCATTCCAGGAAAAACATTTTTTTAAGTTTCGACAGAAAAGATAAAAATACATGTACGTGAATAAAAATAATATACATTTTTTGCAAATTGGAACATGGCGTAATTAAAGTATTACAGTCCATAATCAGATTTTTTAAGCTATTTTGAAGGCACACGCGTATTAAAATGTTCTACTTTTGAATATCACGACATTAAAATTTAAACAAGGCAACTGTTGAGTGCACATACTATTAGGTCTAATATTTTCCACCCCTATAGTCACATTGGTGCTTTCGAAGAAAAAAAATTATAATAAAAAATGAAAATTAAAAAAAGCAATTTTCGTCTTACATTGGTTGACATTTACAAGAGACCACGTGATTGTTTAGTTTTGTTTAAACTACGGGTACTGTGCAATCATAATCATCAATGCCTTTCACCCCTGGCAGGATACAGGCCACATACAAGCTCCTTCCATTTTCCTCTGTCTTGGGCCTTCCTTCCTAGCTCGTTCTAAGCGAACTTCATCTCTCTCATGTCCCTTTCCACACATCTCCTCCATGTTTCCCGTCACCTACCCCTGCCTCGTGCTCCCTGTGGGTTCCACTGCAGCGACTGTCTTGTGATGTTTCCTCTGGGCTTTTTGAAGGTGTGTCCCATCCGTCGCCACGTTCTTTGTTTTATTTCTACTTCTATATATTATTTAAATCCTTTTGGCCTGTCCTTTCCAACAGCTCTTCATTTCTTATTCTAACCTGCCACTTAATTCTTAGGAAACTTCTCAACATGTAACATTTGTTGATGAAAGTCTGGACTTCATTAAGCACTGTCTTTGTTGTCTTCCAATTTTCGCAGCCGTAGAGGAGCACAGACTGGACATTGGAATTAAGGAGTCGAATCTTGGTGCGCAGTGAGATGTTGCTTGCTTTCCAGATATTTGATAATTGATTGAATGCTGACCTCGCCTTGGCGATTCTTGCTGTTACATCTGCCTCGGTTCCACCTTTACCATCGATGACACTTCCAAGGTAGGTAGAGGAGTCCACTTCTTCCAGGGGAGTGTCTTCCACTGTCACAGCAGGGGTTGAAACTTTTCTTAGCTTCACTACTTTCGACTTGCCCGGGTATATACGTAGGCCAACACTCATTGATAGGCTGTTGGGTTCCTTGGTCTTTTCTTGCATCTGACCATGTGTGTGAGAGAGCAGAGCAAGGTTGTCAGCGAAGTCCAAGTCGTCCAGCCAGTGGCGGTGGGTAGTGAAGGGCAGTGGCGGTGGGTAGTGAAGGGCTCACGGGCTTGAGCCCCCCTCCACTCTATCCCAAGGTAAATGAAAGTTTCTTAACTAACGAAATAAGCAGTTGAAACCGTTATGACCGCACGCAATGAACACAGAGTGATCAGCCTGGCGGATTTGCTTGTTTATCCAATCACTGTTGCCACCGCTTACAACTATAGTAACCTAACAGCCAATCAAACGTCTTTAGGGCTTGATGAGCCCACTCCCACGCCCCTTCCGTAATAAAAACTCTTGTTATAAGAAGGTAGAAGACTGGAAAAAATAACACTGTACTGAGGGCTCACGCTCTCCTGGCCCTGACAATGGGGTGAAAGTTTACGACACACTTTCCTCCAGTGACACAGATACCCACGCTCTCATTAGACCTTTGTTATGTGCGTTGTACTTTCTGCGACAACATGGCCTAATCCAGCTCATAGACGGAATATGTTTGGAATGCTGTGTGTGCATGTTTGTGTTTGCGCCCCTGAGATTTTACTGTTAAAAACCACAACGATTCAACTTTAAAGGCAACCTTTTCACAATGAAGAATCTAACCCAGAACAAAGAGAAGGAAGACAAAAGTGACTCTTCTCGTTTGAATTGTTATCAAGATACCGTGGTTCACCGTGCCTATAGAGAAATTAGTACTGTTTTGTTCTCATTGCTTGCTATTTGGTAGTTTAAAAAGTGGGAGCAACCGCAGCCCCACTTAAATTTTGGTCCACCCACCGCCACTGCATCCAGCTGCTGCCAAGGGATTTACTGTATTCAATTGCGCTTGCCTCTGGTGGCTTCTTTCATGACCCAGTCAATTGCCAATATGAAGAGAAAAGGTGAGAGCAAGCATCTTTGTCGCACTCTTGTCTGTACCTGGAATGGTTCTGAGAGATGTCCTTCGTGGAAGACTTGGCAGTTTGTTCCATCATAGGTGGCCTTAACAAGCTTGGCGATTTTGTCAGGTATTCCGTAATGCCACATGCGTTTCCACAGAGTTTCCCTGTCCACGCTGTCAAATGCCTTTTATTAATCAATGAAGCTGACCACTAGTGGTGAATTCCATTCAAGCGATTGTTCAACAATGATGCGCAGAGTAGCAATCTGGTCCACACATGATCGGTTCTTGCGGAATCCTGCCTGGTTTCCTCGGAGCTTCTCATCTGTTGCCAGATTGATTCTCTCCAGGAGTATCCTGTTAAAGACTTTCCCAGGATGGACAGAAGTGTTGTGCCTCTGTAATTGTTACAATTGCTGAGGTCTCCCTTCTTTGGCAGCTTGATTAGGAGGTTTTCCTTCCAGTCTGATGGTATTTCCTCTTCTTGCCAAACCTTTTCGAATAGAGCATAGAGAATTTCCACTGATGCACCTTAATTACTAAAGGACTTCTGGTGGTATATTGTTGGGACCAGCTTTGTAGGAATTCAGTGATGTTATAGCTGCAGCAGCTTCCTTTCTCGAATGTGGTTCAGTAACTATTGAGAGGTCATTTTTGGCTGGAAGAATTTCTGGTTTCTGTTCAAGAGATGATCAAAGTGTTCTCTCCAAAGGTTAAGTTGCCCCCCTGGGCCGAAGATAGTCTTTCCCTCTTTGTCTTTCAATGTTAGAGTGGGCTTGCTGAACCTACCTAAAAGAGTTTTTGTTGTCTGGTGTCCAATCCGCAAGTGTCCGTCTGTTGCTGCTTTGTCTGTTTTTTCGGCCAGGTCATTCAGGTAGATATTCTTGTCCTTCTTGATGGAATTCTTTACCTCCCGATTTACTTCAGTGTAATCTTGTTTGCAGCGAGTTTCTCAGTTTGGGTACGGCTGTTGTTGACTTGGGCCTAGAGCTCTCTTTTTCTTTTGACTTTTTTTCTAGAGTCATGTGAGATTCATTCATTCCTGGGGTTGACTTTGGGTCCTTGGGTGCTCTGGCAAATTGCATAATTTACTGCCTCTTTTATCTTTTCCCAGTGTTGGTTTACTTCACTTTTATCCAGATCTTGAAGGGCTTGAAATCTGTTCTTCCGTTCCAACTTGAATTCATTCTTCTTTACTGGGTCTTTCAGAAGGCTCACTTCATACTTTTGGCGACTTCCAGTTGTGATTTGTGCATACCTTTCCAGTTTCATCTTTCCAAGGATCAAATGGCGGTCTGATGCGACGTCTGCTCCTCGTAAGACTCGGACGTCCTCCAGTGAGCGTCTAAACTTTAGGGAGATGCAAAAATGGTCAATCTGGTTTTCCGTTGTTCCATTCGAGGAAACCCAAGTGGCCTTATGCATCCTTTTATGTGGAAAGATTGTTCCTCCAATAACCAAGTTGTTGGATGCACAGAAGTTTTGGAACCTTTCTCTGTTGTCATTTGCCTCTCTTAATCCATGCCTGCCCATGATTTCCTCACAGTGACTATTTTCCAAACCTACCTTTGCATTTAGGTCTCCCATGACAATGTTGATGTTCTTACCTGGAAATTTGTCGATCATGCTCTGCAGGCGGTTGTAGAAGTCATCTTTATTCTCCTTTTCTGCATCATTGGCTGGGGTATACACTTGTATGATGTTCATGTTTATGACCTTCTTCCTACCATCTCTTTCCTTGAGTTCTTTCTTAGTTCCAAATGAGGCCATGATGATCCTTGGACCGTGCGCTTCCCAGCCCCTGAATGCCTTTCGAGCTGTTTTGGATATGATCATCCCTACTCCTTCCCTGTGTGGTCCATCACTGTCATTTCCTGAATAAATGAAAAGCTTCCCCTCTTTCATTCGCTTCTGTCCAGACTGGTTCAAGTGGGTCTCGCTGATTCGCATGTATTTGTAGGTGGTATCTGTGCATCTCTTGGAGGACCTGTGCAGTTTTCCCAGCTTCATAAAGGGTCCTAACATTCCACGATCCAATCCGGAGAGACTTGGACGTGGGTGATGGTGGAGGCTTCTGCCCAGCAGCTTCCTTTCGGCTTTCACTGCCTCGTATCATAAACTCTCCATTCGGAGAAGATCCACGACAGGCGAAGCAGACAGAACGGCTTTTGCTTGTATGTGTTTCTGCAACAGGTTCTTTTTACGAGAGAGGTTGTTAGCCTCGTGACTCAACCCCCGACCTGGAGGGAGGATGACGCTGTTTCAGGAGTCACCTGGTTCGCCATTTAGTCGCCTTGTAGGACACACTAGCACCACGTCAGTCCTGTTCTTCTCAATGCCGGGACTGTGCAATGCTTAGTGACAAACAATACTAGTAGCCACACGTTTAATAGCTAAAAGCGAAAAGGAAATGAAATAACTAAAAATCAGTAAACAGAAAACAACTTTTAAAAACTTCTAAACCCCCCCCCCCCCCCCTACAAAAATAAAATTATTTAAATTACAATTTTAAAATAATAACGAAATAGAATAAAACAAAACAACATAAAATAGAATTAAATTAAATTAAATTAAATTAAATTAAATAAATGCCTTCGAGTCAAAAATCCTTAAACCCCCTGTGTATCATACCGAGCGTGTTGTGCGCCCATTCTCCCCAGCTTGCTCTCGAGCCCGCCCTCAGATTGTGAAACTGAATTCTTGCTCCCTGCTGGTTAGCAGCTGCAGCACTGGCCGATTTGGTCTTCGTGTGTGAAGAATCGATCCCGGTCCCTGGAGCACATCTTCTCTCTGCCCTGCGCTTGTTTCGGTGTCTGTGTTTCTTCCCACCAGCCATTAACCTGTAGTGTTATTATGGGGAAAAAAGAATTCTGTCTGTTAGTAAACAGACAGAGAAAAAAGAAGGAGGAGAGAGATAACGACGATTGATGTTTGCTGATAGGAGAGAGGGAGCAAGCCACACCAGAGCGTCCGCCTACCACCCACGACTGGGATGTGAATCTTTCAAAGTCTTTCCAAGAGAATTGTTCCGGAAAAACAGAAATTTCATTTAGAATCTTTGGATTTCACACAATAGATTGACGAAAATAGAATTTTTACTCGTCAAAGATTCGTGATCTTCATGTGCACAATGGGACAATCCCCTCCTAGGATCGAACAGGCGGCAAACCGACTTACACGTTTATGGAATTATAGAACGGCGATAAATGAGGCCAGTATGCTCTTATATCGTTTACATGCATAACTTCCCCTTTACATAAGTCATGGTGCGGTGGAATCAGACGCTCACCAAAATAAGGAAATCGAAAAAACTGACATTTTTCCACCAGATGGACAATATTTCTCGATTTTTAAAAAGTGTTGGCATAACAACTTTCACATTAATTTGAAATCATTATTCTGTGCGTATTTTACTGAAAAACGTTAATGAAAAGTACTCACATGTAAATTTGCAGTTTACAAGGACACTCAAACTTTGAAAATCTTCAAAACTTGTCGGTCATTTTCTTGCTAATTTTACCTCTGACCCACCTCCTTCAGTCGCAAATATCTCGACTTTTATTTAAGATATAGTGGTGTTCTTTTCAACAAAAGCAAGGCAAATAAACCAGCTTTAAGATAATACCAATAACCTCACTAGTAAAAAAATTTTTTTTTTTTTTTTAAACCGAGGAGCGCCTGATTCCACCACGTCATGTCACATATTAGACAAGTTGATCAGCCGTTTTAAGCCCAGAAAGCAAAAATAAAACCAGGACAGAGGAATACATGTTGAGAGTTTTTAAAAACCTGGAATACCTGGAGTTATCATCTCTGACTCAGAGGTTGACATGTAATGACCCTCCATCCTTCACGGTCACGAACTGCCGTTGCCCATTCTGTACACCCAGGCCAGTCTATGTTTTATGTTGTCCATCCATGTTACTCTTTGTCCTCCTCTGGCTCTCCTGCCCCATATCCTCCCTTCAAGAACCTCTTTCACAATGGTCTGGTTTGTTCTAGGTGACCAAAGAATTGTACTTTCCTACATTTAATTTTATGATCAAAAGAAATTAATTAGATGCTAATACATCCATTCTAATACCGCTACTCCTCTGCAATGTTCAGAACAAACGACTTCTAGACGGCTGCTTCTCAACCATTTTATACCCATCCGCCACTCTGTCGAACTTAAGAGGCTAACGTTTCTTCACAACCCACCTAGATTATGTAGGCCTATTTCCAAACGAGGAATTAAATGACATCTGTCACTTTGCAGGTGGTCCCCATCGCCCGCGGAATTATTTTTTTTAATTGCCCGCGAGTGGACGACACATTACATGTTGGCAGGCACGGATCTAGAAGATAATAATAATAATGTAATAATAATAAATACCATTTGCATAGTGCATATCCCCGCTCGACCGCAAGCTCTACGCGCTTTACACACTATATTATTATCCCAGCAGACCCTAGAAGACTCAGAAGCACTCTCAACTTCCCGGGAAGCATCCGGTACAAGCAGCTAATTAAGCGCCCAAACACTAACAAACTGACAAGATCTTTCACTGTCTATAGCTGGGTACCCAATCCCATCTTGGTGAAGTGAGGAAAATAAGTGTAAAATACCTTTCCAAAGGACATAACCTCAGATCCCTGACGAGATACGAAACACATGAACTTACAGTTGCGAGTCTGAGGGTTTAACCACTGAGCCACAGACGCCACAAAGATACCAACAATCGGTAGGAGACTGTCTCAATTACCTTGTCCATCACACCACAGACGTCGGCTACTATTGCCAGTTAGAAATATTGCTACTCTTTCATAATGTTCAGAGCAGAGCACAATAATATATGACGATACTCTCGTTAGAACGTCGGCTATTCATCTTTAATGTTCAAAACAAAACACACATCTTGAAAATAATACACTCGTCCAATTGTCAGCTACTTTTCTGTAATATTCAGAACATAATATATCTATAAGAATCCACTAACCTGTCAGC